GTTGACGTCATACAGGCATCTCTGGAGGAGTTTCAGGAACGTGATAGCGGATGGGCGTTGTCACGTATCCTGAACCTAACAATCAACGTCAACAAGTTGAATCCTCTACGCGCGGGATGCCACATCGAGTTACCGCGGAAAGTTACGTTAAAAAGGGCAGTGGTCAACGTGAAATCAAACGATAATGCGTGCTTTGCGTGGGCAGTAGTAGCAGCTTTACATCCAGCGGAAAAGTACCCGGAAAGAGTATCGCAGTACCCGCACTATTCAACGGTGCTGAATCTGTGCGACATCGAGTTCCCCATGACGCTGCCACAAATATCAAAGTTTGAGAAAATGAACGCCATCTCCGTCAACGTCTTTACCACCGAAGACTCCAAAATCGTCCCTCTGCGGCTCACCGACGACAAAAAGGAGAAGCACGTCAACCTGCTATACGTGTGTAAAAACAACGATGCACACTTTGCGTGCATAAAGAACCTGCCGCGGTTGGTGAGCTCACAACTGAGCATGCACAAATGTAAAAAGTACATTTGCGATCGGTAAGTAAAAATATACGTAAAAATTAAATCAATATTTTTATTCATAGTTTTAATCAAATAAATTATTACAGGTGTTTACACTACTTTTATATACAGGAGAAATTATCGGCGCACAGCATCGACTGCGGGAAAATGAACGACTGCGCCGTCGTTCTCCCCAGCGAGGACGACAAGTGGCTGACGTTCCGCAATTACAACCGGAAGGAGCGGCTCCCGTTTGTAGTGTACGCCGATCTCGAATGTACGCTCGAGAAGAAGGATGGACAAGACGGCACCACATACGTCTATCAGCATCACAATGTGTTTAGCGTAGGATATTATGTAAGTTGCACGTACAATAATTCTTTATCCGGGTATAAGTCGTAACGCGGTGAGGATTGCACAGCGTGGTTCGTCAATGAACTGCACGATTTGGCGCACCGCGTGAAAGCGATCCGCACCACCATCGTCCCCATGGCGGATCTTACGCCGGAGGAATCGGAAAAATTCCGTAGCACCGCGACGTGTCACGTGTGCGAGAAACCGTTTACACCGGACGATACGCGGGTGCGCGATCATTGTCATCTTACCGGGCGTTATCGAGGTCACGCGCACTCGTCGTGCAATTTAAATTACAAAGACTCCCACGTTATCCCGATGAGTATACCCTCCCCGTTAACCCTCATGATATTTCACAATTTATCCGGTTACGACGCGCATTTCATCATCAAAGATGTTGCCAATGCTTTCGAAGGCAACATTGATTTACTGCCGCTGACGAAAGAACGTTACATTTCATTCACTAAAAACGTTAAAGATACGGAGGATGAAAATTCCAAAATTTGCGTGAAATTACGATTTATCGATTCGTTTAGATTTCTCAGTACAAGTCTTGAAAAATTAGCATCTTATCTGACAACGGACGAATTAAAAATTACACGATCGGAATTTAGCCATTTATCCGCGGAACATTTCAATCTGCTTACTCGGAAAGGTGTGTTTCCCTACGAGTACGTCGACAGCGTCGACAAGCTCCGGGACACAAGCCTACCATCGCGCGTATCGTTTTACAGCTCGCTCACCGGAGAAACAGTATCCGAGAGCGATTACGCGCACGCGACAAACGTCTGGCAAACCTTTTCGATCGAAGATCTAGGTCAATACAGCGATTTGTATTTGAAAACAGACGTTCTTTTGTTGGCGGATATTTTCGAAAATTTCCGAAACACGTGTATAAAGAGTTACGGTTTAGATCCCGCTCAGTATTACACATTACCGGGGTACACGTGGGACGCTATGTTGAAGTACACGGGCATCAAGTTCGAGTTGCTCACAGACATCGATATGGTGCTGTTTGTCGAGCGCGGTATACGCGGCGGTCTCAGCCAATGCTCCAACCGATACGCCGCCGCCAACAACAAATACATG